TGTCCCCACTGAGCTTTGAAGTGTGTAATTTCAGCTGCCTGCTCCCTTTTTTTCTGAACTCCCAGGTAAGCTTTATAAATTTGATCTGAGCTTGATCGGAAGTATAGGAGAGAAGACTGTAGATAGACAAGTACAACTTATGTAGGAGGATATGTTTCATACTTGTATCCCCTGAGGTCAGCCACTTCACTGGGTATATGTAATGGTTTACAACTTTAAGTATGAACTCGGAGGTGGAGCAAGACTACTGAAGTTCAGCAAAATATTGCTAACTCATTGTACTTGCCAAGATCTGGTGCCAATGTCATTGCCTGCCTGGCTGCCAAAGAGAACTACCCTATGAGGATCAGGGTGCACATGCAACAGGGTCTGATAATAAGTCACATTGTTCTACCCATCATAACATCTAATATTTCATGCACACATTTGTGTCTGACTTTTTACTTAAAGTAATGAAGTGTTTTACTTACCTGCTCTGTGCAATGGTTTTGCACAGAGCAGCCCCGATCCTCCTCTGCTGGGATCCCCCACTGGTGCTCCTGGTTCTCCCTCTTTAAGTGCCCCCACAGCAAGCCGCTTGCTATGGGTGCACTCATGCGAGCTTGATGCTGAAACAGACCATGTGAGTCTATTGACACACACAGTGCAGCTTAGCCCCACCCCTGCTCTCTGCTCACAGGATTTGATTGACAACATCAAAAGCTGACGGCTCTTGCTGCTGCTGAGCCTCCTGTGAAAAAAATAGGGGAGAGAAGAGCAGCACTGCTGCAGACTGGCGCAGAGCTAGATAATGATTGGATTAAGGTAAGTATTTCAGGGGGGCTGGGGGGAGCTGCCATGGAAAGGTTTTTTTTTTACCTTAACACATTAGGGTAAAAAAAAAAACAACTTTTACCTTTACAACCACTCTAAGTTCTCCTTTACCACAGGACAATGTGATATTGAACTAGCAAATACATACTTTGTTTTATCCTGAGCCCTATTAAAATTGTTTGTGACAGTCCCTTTATGTTGGCATGGGGTTATATGTACATTTTTTAGATATTCCTCCCCTGACCCACATGACAGTGCTAGAGCCTGGTGATTGGCCACTTGGGCACTCATTGCTAATTTATGGGCACCGGTGTTCTCACATACCCACAATTGTTGGTTATTCCCTAAGGCCCTAAGGTAGAGGTTGAGGCTATGTGGATTTGCTGTAATCTATTAAATCTGCCTATGTTGTCTGCTATTAAGCAAACCTCTTATGTTACCTAGTATTGTCAATGTAGAGATTCAATTAAAAGGCAACGTATACAGCAAATAAGAGCTCTGCCTATCACTTTGCATATTCTTTCAGATATGACACTTGAGTGTAAGTAGGCAACTTGATGTAACTTCAGTGCAGCACTAAAATGTCCTTCAATGGATTGAGTATAATAAACACATACAGATAAATAATGTACTATGCACTGTAGTTACATTATTATTTTGGGGTTGGTATCATAACCTTTGTGCTGAATTCTTTTTTTTTTTTAAATTTCACCTAAGTGCAGAGTTTTTCACATTTAAGTAGGCAACATAGTAGGCTATATAAGCTCAGGCCATTGATCCAGTGTTTACACCCTTTACAAGGGGGAAAAGAAGCATATAGGGAAAACAGAAATCCCTTGACAGCGCTGGCCAAAAAACACAGGAAGGAAAAATATAAGGGCTGCTTATTTCAAATGACTGCAAAATGAGCAAACGTTTTGGCCTGGCAGTGGGGACAGTAAATAGATTTCTGGGGTGCATTACTAGAAAGTTCCCCAGCAGGAGGAAGGAGACCCTGATTCCCATATACAAATCTTTAGTTCTACTTCATTTGGCATATTGTATCCGGTTCTTTTAAAAAGATGTTGACAAGATAGAATGACTCCGAAATTGGGCAACAAAAATGGTAAAACATATTAGTAAAAAGTGCAGGAACCTAACAAGTACAGTCTGCGGAAAGAAAAGAAGGGAGGGAAATGATGGAAACCTTTAAATGTATTAAGTGTGTGATTGAGGAGAGCAGTTTTTTCAATGTGAATACAAGATCATGACCATAGGGACATGACCTCAGACTAACAGGAGGAAAGCCCAAAACCTTAGCAAAACCTTAGCAATAATGTTTTTCAAAAAGAGTAGCTAATGCTTGGAATAGGCATCCAACAGAAGTAGGGAGTCAGTCAACAGTAAGTGAATTTAAACATGCTTGGGACAAACATACAGATCTATGTTTTTTTGTAAGGGGTTAGAAAAGGGGACAGACTTGGTGGGGGGCACTTTGTCTTTTTCTGCAATAGTTTCCATGTTTCTATGTCCAGTTAGATCCTATATCCCCAATGAATGTTCGCTGCAACTCCTTTCTAACAAACTAGTTGGGAAATGTGTTCCCTGCCCATCTAAAATCATTCCCAAATTCTCTCTGATTTTTTTGCCCTCATAATTTTGTAAGAGTATTTTTTATACTGTGATCTGGGAGTGTTTTACCTCTAGTGGTAGATACATTTTTCCAGTGAGTTCACATCACTCAGAATTGTGTTTAAGGACCTGGTAGCCCACGTTTATTAAAAGGAAAATGAAAGTCCTTCCAACAGACGTTTTCCACACAGGGGGTTTCAGCTTCACTCAGCAACAATGTTAAAGCATAACTAAAAGAAAAACTTTTTTTTAGGTTTTGGATAGAAGATTGGGAGATGGATTAGAACACATTTCAATCTTTATTGCTGTCTGTGCCCCCATTACGGAGAATTGCCTTCTTTATTTGTCCTGTTTACTATTATTATTGAAAGTGAAAGTAAAAGAACATTTTTAAAAGTAATATAGGGGAAATCTTCCAATGGGGACAGTAGTTCTGGTGACCTGAGGGTCCCTAAGGAGTTCCCTTAATTTGCAGGAATTTCCTCTTGCTTTCTGTTTGGGACAAGATGTGAAGGGAAATCTCAGCAATGAAACACAGATGGGGAAAAAAAATCTGACAGGGGTTATGACCCTCCCTTACTTTATCCAAAATGAGAAAAAAAGTTTTGCCTATAGTTCTATTTTAACCTAAAATACCGAGCAACCTGGCTCTTAAGGCTCAAGCTTTCTTTGCTGGCCCAACTCTTTCAGTTCACTGACCTGGAACCTCTTCCACATGGAGTGCTGTCCCATGTGGTTTGCCTAGACAGGAGCACACCTCCCTCTTGGCTACAGCACCTGCAACACTAACTCCGCATGCAACAAGAGGTGGCTCTCTAATTAGGAAAATAGGCGGTCACTCACAGGGGCCTTGTGGCCGCCTAATTTGCTTACACAATCAGCTGCCTTAAAAGTTTTAAGTTCTATAGCTGCGGATTACTTTCATGGAGCCGGCAGTGCGGTACCTTCTCCCCTTCCACCGGTGCCTCCCCCTTTTTGTGGTTCCTGGGATCTCCCTCTCTTACCAGAGCACGGGAACACTTTCGCCAGCTAGGGGAGAGAGAGCGCTGTGAGAACGAGATAAATCCACTTACAGTTTAAGATGCACTATTTCCTGGCCAGTACAGCCAGAGGACACATTTACTCAAATATCACCTTTTTATTATACAGTGTCTCCCTATTTCAGAAAATATATAATGTTCTGGAGGTTTAAGTAACTGTATTGCAAAAAATGTAGCTTTTTACATGTAAGTAAACCATTGCTCTGGAGCTGAACTGGTTAATTCTGCTGTGCACAAGCAACATTAAGTGCCCTGTCACACTCGATTCTTGTGTAACCTAAGACTTCTGGAGCTCCAACTGCCAGCCAATGAGGAGTTTGCGTACATCACCCCTCCCATCCACCGTACGAGGATCTCAATCTGGAAAGGTCTGCTGCGTAGCTTATGGACAGGCAGATGGATGGGTGTGAGTGGGGCCTCATATCTAAATTTTGCCTAAGGCCTCTCAAAGCCTAGAGCCGCCTCTGCCTGCAACTCTCACCAGATCATCATTATAAGAACTGTGTTCACCTGGACACACACCCTGTTGTTTGTCCACAAAACCTGGACACTGGGTTGGAGATTTATTCCCTCCCAAGACACTCTGAAATCTCCAAACTATGGAGCCCCTTCTGGAAATAGCAATACCCAGAGAAAGCTGCAAAAGTAGTTTTCTCCACTCAAAATCAATGCTCCATAGTCCTGCACTCAGCAAATATGAAAACCTTGTGTCCTTTTCCTGACCATTTCCACACTGACAGAGCCTCACATTGTCACAATATATATTTTAGTTATACATTTATTTTGAACTGAAAATAAAGAGTTTTAGTATTTAGTTAATAACTAGTTAAATAATATGGAGATTGTCTGTGCTATTACTAAACTAAATGTTCTAACCGTACGTCAATCTTCACAATGGAAGACAAGGTTTTCTTTTGTTATAGACAGTAGCAAATAACAGTATGTTATATTACTGTCACGTGTAAACATTGTATTTACTGTGTTCATTTACATTACACCTATGCTTTTTAGATCATTGAGCCTCAGATCAGTCTTTTTGATCGAACAATAGTTACACATCGACAATGGGGAGAATTTTAAGTTCCTGTTTCTTACAAGCAAACCATATATCTGTACTGCAAAGGGTTTGTCTGAGGATCTTTTGTGAAATCTATGCATGGTTTACTTGTCAAAAGTGAAATATTTACATTGACAAAGACCATTATTATTCCTTTGGATCTTTCAATAGTCTGTTATATTTTGGTTGGGATAACAACCACTTTACAGTGGAGGCTGACACAAATTAATTGTCAAAACCAAGGTGTCTGAAATAATTATTCATTTGTGTGAAATATTGTTTTAATGCCTTATGTAATCTGAATGTAGCTGGCTCTAAAATGTAGTATCTAATGAAAATTTTATATTTACAAATGTCTTCTTTAACAATAAAAATGTATAAAAGACAAAATATCTATCATGATGTAATGACTTACAGTGCTTTGAAGAACATAGAGGTTCACTGCTTAATACGGACTTCTTTATGCCTTTGTCTTACAGGAGGTGGAACTGTGCCGCCTGAATAGCCAGGATAGACTGGGCTTAACTGTCTGCTACCGGACAGATGATGAGGAAGATACAGCAATATATGTCAGTGAGGTAAAGAGAAAATGACTGACGGTAATAAGGAAAGGTGGGGAAGGGGTGTGGGAGAGATCATCTGTTATGCCTAGATCACATAGACTGTCTGTTATAAAGTACAAGAGTCTGAGTGGAAAATGTATGAAGTGTTAATAGAATAGTACAGTTGTATGAAGACGAGCATTGGTACAAGGAATGAAAATAACTAAATAGCCCTTTTAGGAACACATTCTGTATTTTTTTTATTCCGTGGAATAGCTTTTATGGTGCACCTTTATGAGATCAAAGTATAGGCAGTAAGCATATTAGATGATCTCATGACAATAAACCTAAACATTACTGACTGATAAAGTTTACTGCCCGTTTCATATTGTCATTCCATTCTTCTTTTGATTAAGCCTGCTTTTATTTAATTAATGTTATTCAGCCAAGCCTGTCCTTGTCAGCTACATTTCATCTGTAGACTAAACATAGGTGGGAGGCTTCTGAAATCCACAATTATATAAACATTCAGCCATTAAGACTGAGGATGGTGTTGGCTTGAAGGTGATAATAATTTTGATAATTTTTTTATAACAGTTCCTGTAGTATTTTTTGGTAATCATATACTATATGGCTGCATTTTTAGTTGTTTTTTTTAGAAGCCATACTAAACCTTCCAGATGTACTAGATATACTTTTAATAATGAAAGCATCCCTGTAGTCAGTTGTGTAGCAAACTGTCACTGAGATGGTGCAGCCTCATTTATATTTTACCGTCTAGAATGGCCTAGGTACCTCTAAACCCTGAGAGCTAAAATATGAAAATACTGACCTCAGTTATGAAATGTAAGCTGACCTCAGTTATGAATAAAAACAAACAAGGGCGCACTCTCATCGTGCATTACCGTGGTATAACACGTAATTTATTAAATAGGATGTATAGTCACAAACCAACGTGATAATGGGCAGTATAGGTGATCCAAAAAAACAGTCACAATGCAACTGTGTCTATTGATGAGAATAAGCTGACGCGTTTCGGGAGTTAAACCCCCTTCCTCAGAGCTCTGAGGAAGGGGGTTTAACTCCTGAAACGCGTCAGTACTCCGAAGGGTAGCACCTCTTCGGTTGGCATTTGACAATTCCTTGGTTTGCATGAAGATTGGAGCGCTGGTTTCGTTTGTTTTTCTTTTGGAGTGACCTCAGTTATGAAATGTAAGCTGAAGTGTGTGCAAATATTTTATTGGGGCATTAGCTAGGTACCAAGGTAACTCTAATGATGTATGCCCCACTGGTCGCTGCTGCTTCTTTCAATCTCCCTGTGTCCAATCACAAAATGCCTTCTATTTTCTGAAAAGAATACAAGACATTCTCTGAATGGATGAATTGCAAAGGGAGCAACTCGCTGTGACCGCCTGAAGTCTGTATTTGCATATTAGAGTGTCTTGTTTTTTTTGTTGGAATAGTTGACACATTAAGCCATGAAGGAAAGGCACTGTTCCTGATTGTACCAATTGTTTCACCAGTTAGTGCCAGTTTGTGACCAGTTACACAGTAAGAAATCTAGGAAATATGTCAGTTTAACAGTGACCTGATCTATGAGTAGAGGGAAATCCTTCTTAGGTATATGATGGTAGTCAGTTGGCATAGCTGTGACTGCCATAACAACTTAGTGGTGGGATAATTAATAATTTTATTACAGGTTTTTATATAGTGCCATCAATTTACACAGTGCTTTAAATATAGTGTACATTCACATCAGTCCCTTCCCTCAAGGAGCTTACAATCTACGGTCCCCAACTCATACTATAATTCATACTGTAACGAGGTTCGCTCGGCAGCGGGTGTGTGTGACCCCCTGGATGAGTTCACAACACAAAAACGGGCACAGCAAAACAGCAGTTAAGGTGAGAAAACAAAGGTGCGGTTTATTTACACTATTTACAAGAGGAAAATTTCAAAACATGAAAATAAATCCTTGCCAACTTGGCCACTTACTATACAAAAAAGCTTCCCTTGCTATCAACTAGGTGCAGCACCCAGTCCCTATTTCCCTGTTATTAGAGGTTGGCCACACAGGCGTTTATCTCACCGCACAGACAGATATGAAGCTCGCCAGTCTACTCAGCCACAGAACTGGTTCCAGGATGGAGCAACTCCGTATCCAGGCTGGGAAGTTTTATAGAGGCCCTAATGAGCCCACTTTCTTCAGCTGGGCTCATTACCTCACTGCTGAAGGGCTTAGCACTTCCCCCTAGTGGAACAAATCCACATAGAGCCTGAATCTTGGACAAATGTACCTGCCATCCTGGATGCAACCAGGTGATTTTACTTGCCTGCTGTCACAATACATACACAAATTGGGGCCAATGAACCTTCCAGCTTGTCTTTGGATTGTGGGAGGAAACTCACACAGGCACAGGAAGAACATGCAAACTCCAGGCAGATAGTGCTGTGGTTGGTATTCAAACCAATTACCCTAGTGTTGCTAGGTGGAAGTGCTAACCACTTAGCCACTGGGATATTTAAAATATTGACTGGATATTTTTCTTGTTTATTTAGAGACTCCATGATACATGGCTGGTGATTTTAAAGGAGAAAGGGGGGCAGGAGGAATGCTGCTTTGTGGGATCACTTACTGCGTCCTTATCCTTAGTGCTGGAACAACTGATATAACATTGTTTGCTGATAGAAGACAAGGCACTGAGGGCAATTGGTGCAGCAGCAGATGATTTTAAAAAATTTGGATTTTAAATTAGAGCCAGACTAAGGAAGAGGAAGGTGACTGAGTTGTATCTATATATTGGGAGTTTTCATATAGCTCTTCAATTAAACAAGCTTATAGTTTGAAGAAAGCATGAAACCACAACATCCAAAACCACTTTTACTTACAAAAAAGCACTGTGAATAAATATAAGTTTGATACACGATAGACTTATAATTGGTTTAGATTGTGACCCCATTCACACTTTGTTGTAAACACTCAACAAGCAAAAACGTATTGTTTTCAATAGCCCTTGTTCACATCTGAGCATCCTGTCGCTTGTAGCAAAACACCTGTCACTCAGAAAAGTATGTAAGCTACTTTTCAGGCAGATGTGAGCAATTCAGTCCCTATAGGCTTCAATGGAACCGCCTGAAAAGTGTGACATGCTTTTTTAGAGTTTTTATTTTCCAAACGTTTTCTGCTCAAGCAGCAGCTGTCCACCCCTTTTTCAGCAACAATTCACACAAGTCTCACAAGCTGCAAAAACTGGTTCAAATATTGCTCAAAACCGCTTGAAAACAGGAGGTGTGAATGTAGCCTGAATGAGGAAGAATAGAATGTGATACTTTGGTTGTAAGCCAAGGTGAAGGCTTATCATCATGAGGTAACCATAAAGATGAACAAGCTATCCAGCGTACAATGTCAGATGCCTGACACGGATGAATTAGTCTGCTTGTACTATAGTGCACGTTAAGAGATACCATTATTGCTTTTGTGCTGAAAGTACTATCTTCCATTTCTTCCCAACATTTTTATTAGGAGAAGCGATGCTCTGGAATATTGCTTCTCTGTGCCCCTTCCACCGCCACACATTTTCCTAGAGGATTGTGGCATTTAAAAAAAAAAAAAGTTTTGCTGCTTTCCATCATAACAGCAAGGATGTAATGATATTGTATTGTTTTTACTGCATGCAACATTTTTGAGAGATTGAATGTCTGAGTGAAACACTGAAAGTTATCACTGCATGTCCAATAAAGCCAGAAAAACAATTTCTGTCATGGTAACCTGGAAAAAAATTGTGAATTTGTGGAGTGCTTTGTCTCCTAAATCATATTATAGACTGGGCAACAACAAGAGTCATTAATGGACCTTCTAAATATATATTTTTTATTTATTTGCCTGAGAATTTGCATGAAAAATGTAACTGTTTGATCAGACACCGAAGCTCCTCGGAGAACCAAAAGCGACAGAAAAATGTTTTTGTCACTGTGACCTGAAAGTTGAATGGTATACAGGACATACAGATGGAATAGGCTGCCTGGACTAATCAATTTTCAAGAACATCCTAGTTCTGAAGCTCCTAAGTCTGCTCCTATATGCTTTTTTTTCTTTCTTTTTTCTATGTTCTCTCTTCATCCCAGTGAAACTGTATATGATTATACATTTTTTTTTTACATTTTCAAGCTTACAAGAATTTTTTCATCTTCTCAGCCTGGAGCAGTCCTGCAAGACTAGTTCCCAAAATAAAAAAAAATCCTGTATAATTACACTGGCCTTTGCCATTAAATAACCCTACGTGGTTTATTATTTTTTGTGACAGGCTATTACTAAAAAGGAATATTGAACCCTTTATATAAGATGTAACCTAAAAGCAAATGCTACACTTGAGGTGCTTCTGTTTGAAAAATAGCTTTTGGCATGACAGGGCCTAATGAATGGTTTAAGATAACCATCAACAGAAGGTGATAGATAGTGTTCCCACTCTGGACACTGGATCATTATTCATTACAGAAATATTAAACATCTGAACAGCTCAAGAGCCCTCCATGGCTGTCAAGGTTTAACTCAATATATCAACAGTCACAATGGCAGGATATTTGATAATACTTACTTACAGTACAGTGAAAGCAAATTCAGACCTGATACAATTGATAATTGAATTATATAAATTCCCTTTATAAAACCTGAAAAAGTGTATTAAATGTGTCTATTTCTGTACATTTTCTTTGAGTTGACACATGTACATTGTTGTATAGTTCAAATGATTTTATGTTCCTCTTTTACAATCTTTTTCAAATGTAGAATATAGATTTTCAATGTAATACTTACAGTATATGAAATTCAAGTTTCAATAAGCAATGCTTGTACCCACTTGAATGTGTAGTAGAAATGTTTCCTTTACCTTTTTATTTTTGTATGGAGTAGGGATGAACCAAACAACCTGTGCTTAGCTCGAGATGGGTTCAGAGACCTTTATCACAGTTTGGGTGCCAAATCAGAACCCCTTCAAAGTCAAATGGGAGTGAATGTTAAAAACCAGTAATGGTAATTTTCTAGGCTAATATGCAAGGGATTGTCAAACAAATGGCGTGGGGGGCTGAGCACTGCCCTTGGGAACATGTGTCAAAACAAAAAACATTTTAACAAATTCAGTTTGGCAAGTGACGAAGACGTCAAGTGACGAAAGGATGGAGCTTCGGACTGATGTCACTACGTTCTGATAGCGGCCGGTATCTCCAGCTTTTGTGACGGCTTATGTGTTTTGTGCGGTTCATGCTGGTGTTAACACTTTACCATGTGAGTGGTTTGGATATGTTTTTATGAAGAATAAACCTGCTATACAGTATTACACTATCGCCTGCTTTGTTTCTCTTCCATTTGAGCCTATATAAGAGAAGTATATTGGAGAGTCTTGTTGCAGTGGTTACCTGTCTGCCGATCATTGCACCCAGAGCAAATGCACAATTTGCTAGTTTATAAACATTACTACCAACTTGCTCTGGTGAGTTCATTCATTTCTACTGGTGAAGGATTGTTACACATTGGTGATGGATTTCCTCACATCGCATTATTTGAATTGAAAGTTATCAGAGACATTTTTTGCAAGCACGTTTATTAATGATATTCACATATATATTTATTTGATTCATTTATCACGTTCACAATATAGGGTTTGATTTATTTATTTATTATGTGATTGATTTAAATAAGCGCTACCGTTTTTTTTATATAGTTTGGCAGAGAGCAGCAATTTTAATAATACTTAAAGTGAAATATTACCCCCATCTTGAACCATACCAAGCTATATGCCTTCAACATAAAGAGGGACCTTGGATCCTCTTCCGCACAATCCTGGCCCAGTGGTTGGAGGGTCTTCAGGTGGGGGGATTATCAGAATCTGGAAGCCCCCTTTAAAATAAGAGAGACCTACATACCAGCATCCCCATGTGAATGAGTAAGGGGTACATTGTACCCCTTCTTATTCATCAAAAAAATGTAAATGACACCACCCTTTTTGACAAACCCATTAATAAAAAAAGTTTTTAAAACTGCCCCACAATGTGCATCCATCATCAGTCATATCATACAGCAATGCAGGTCCATGTTAATCATGATGAATGATGTTATGACATCTACTGGGCCCCATTGCTAAATTAACAGGAGCGGGGTCTTCCTGGTCACTTACCAAATATGGTCATGGCCATATATGGTCCACGTCATATTGCCCAAATATGGCCATGTGACTGTATTTGTGCAGTAATGTCAGCGTTATCTCCATCCCTTTATATACAAACCGAAGGATTCCTGGCTTGTAAATTAATGTCACTGGTTGTTGTACTGGCACCCGCCATATGATGGTTAAATGACCATCTTTGAGCTTTTCATTTTACTCTGTACTGGCCTGTGGGAGGAGTCAGGTGGAGCCAGCTTTTCACTGCAGTAACACCCACTCAACATTAATTCGTATTTAGCAGGCATCATGCACATTTAAACAAATGCACATAACTTTACCTAATGTGAACAGTAGAAGACAGTAAACCACATGTTGGATATTACTGTATATGTGTTTGTAGTTCAGATTACACTGCACAGACATCAGTCAGATTACCCCTTCCATACTCCTTACTGCTCCTCTATAAGTTGATAGTACACACATTATCACCTAATACATAAATGATCACTGTCAGCTGTACTAATTGAGAAACAACATGACATTCACGTACAGTATAGAGAACAACACAGCAAGGTACAGTTCACTGTTAGAGTTCTTGAGTCCTAGGTAGGATTCAGTGGGCTGAGAGGACAGGCTATGCAGTAAATCTTTCTCATCCAGAAGAAACTGATTCTGGAATTTGTGAGCTCCATATAAGACATAGCATTAGTGATTGACACCCCTCAAAAACCCATGGGGCATGTTGAAGACAGTCTAAAGCTGGGTATACACACACAGTTTTCAACCAGTGGGTTGAACAAAAAAAACCTGACCAATCAAATTATGTTGATGCAGGTTTTCTCCCACTGTTCTCTTTTATTCTGACAGGAGGGACTCCTCCCATTTTAAAATACATAGATCAGACTTGCAACCATTGGCTGCGAGCACTGATTGAATGTTGGTTTTTTAGCATGACCGTTTGACAGAAGCGCACATACTGAAATTTGGGAAGTTCCCTGAACTGGACGAATTTCTGTACATGTGTACCGAACTTAAGACAGTTATGGGGATCTTGTGGGTGACAATGTATCTGTAGATAGGAAGTGTGCCTGTTGAAATGCCCTTCAATAGACTAATTCTCCAAGTTCTTACTATGATGATGTCAGAACAACTTCTTCTATGTCTCCTTATTTTAATACTTTACTACATTTAAACCCCCTCCCCCAAATTTGATTCAATTTCCCCATTTTTCTTCAATGCCTTCTTTATATATATATATATATATATATATATATATATATATATATATATATGAGGCATGGAGGAGCTCAGCTATGAGGAAAGATTAGAGGAATTGAATTTATTTTCTCTTGAGAAGAAGAGATTAAGGGGGGATATGATCAACATGTATGAATACATCATATAGTGAACTCGGTGTAGAGCTATTCACCCTAAGGTCATCACAGAGGACAAGGGCTGCACGCTTTACGCCTGGAAGAAAAGAAATTTAATCTCCAAACACGGAAAGGTTTCTTCACAGTGAGAGCTGTGAAAATGTGGAATAGACTCCCTCAAGAGTTGGTTCTGGTCAGCTCAGTGGATTGCTTCAAAAAAGGCCTGGATTGTTTCTTAGATACACAGAATATAACTGAATACTAACATTTATAGGTAAAGTTGATCCAGGGAATATCTGATTACCTCTTGGGGGATCAGCAAGGAATTTTTTTTTCCCCAGCAGTAGCAAATTGGATCGTGCTTTGCTGGGTTTTTTTTTTTTTTTTTTTTTTTAGCCTTCCTCTGGATCAACTGTGGGTATAGGATTATAACTTTTTTTTTCTATGGTTGAACTGGAAGGACTTTTGTCTTTTTTCAGCCAGACTAACTATGTAATTATGTTATTATATCTTCTAAGTGCTCTAAATACTATCACATGACATAAGAAAACTCTGATCTACTTCACAGGGCGAAACCTTCTAAAGTTATATGCTCATGATTAGGTTTATATAAGCCATTTTTGTAATAATTCATAGTTTCTTAAACAACAAAATTAAATGGTTATGTGTATATAGCCGTCTTTTTTTGGGGGGTAGGTAGGGGAGCTATAAGAAATGGCCTTAAAACTGTTTATCCATTCAACTGCTTAGACAGGTAAGATGTGAAGTATTAATAAATGGTCTGATTTCTAAAATACAATTGGTAGGATCTAGCATAGCCTGTCATGATTGCCTAAAGACTAAGTCACATGGGTCTTTTTTAGGGAGCAGTAACATAATTTTCCTAACAGGATACTAGCAGGTGCTGAACATTCCCTTTCCAAGAAATGCATAAGTGTGCAACTTTAATCTATTATCTTCATTAGGGAGAAGATTGAGTTTGGTCACGGCAAAATGTAGTGCATTGAGGATGGGCATACATCTCATTACTTGTTCTTGCTAGGAAATTTCCCTATCTATGATCACTCTATCTACACAACAGAACCAGAGTACTTTCCCTACAAATTGTTTAGCATGAAATCTAGCATCTACTTGACAAATGTTTATACTTGTATACTAGGGAATTCTTTAGCAACAAGATAAACCTTCATTCTCATTTTATTTGTTTCTCATTTTCATTTAGGTTGCTCCAGAAAGTATTGCAGCAAGAGATGGTCGCATTCGAGAAGGAGACAGGATTTTGCAGGTCAGTCTACAGAGACATCTTTATTTGCTTCTCTTTTTTAGAACTTGTGATACATTAAAGTAATCCATTGTGCAATGTAAAATGACAACATCACAGGAATAATAATTAAAGCATAATTTTTAATATAGCTAGCAATAAATAAATGTATAAATATTTATAAAATGTTATAGGAATGTAAAGGACTATGCATAAATGTATCTGCTAGTATGTTTATTTTACCTTTAAGCCTGATAAAGGGCAGGGATGCCCTAAATGGTTGTCCAGTATGTTCCTATCTACATGATATTGGTATACAATAAACATAACCATTTGTGAGTAAAGAATTCTGCAATTCTGGGTCCTGGTTTTACCAGCAATCAACACACTGATATTGCAGGTGTGCAAAAGGGTTTTGTGGAGAAGATTTATAGAGTTCAGAGTTCCATCCTCCCCAGGAGTCTGGGTGGCTAAACATGAGCAACAAGAGATGATACATGAGCTTGAGTTTTGTCTGGAGAATACAGACAAGGGTCAAGGCAGTTCTGCTGCAAAGTGAAAGCCAGGGCTTTTGTAAAGTATGGCAATAAAATGCTGAAAACCTTTGCAAGGATAAATTTTATTGTTTATGAGACAGACTAGTCAAGTTGACGGCATTCTTCTTGGTATCCCTACACTTGAGCTAATTTCCCAATATAGAGTATGTATATATGTACACACAACCAACAATAGAAAATACAGCAGTGAATGAAAGACAAAGTTCTGCCTACTTCAGCAATAACTTAAAGTCCATGTAGTAAGCTTTTGCTCAGCCTTTTATAACAAGCAAAGTATCCTGGCAGGTGGATTTGTGGACTAGGGCGGCTAGGATGCAAACATACTCAAAGTAATCCACAGCCCAAACTCCAAGGAGGAATTTTACAATCAGCCTCTATGGCAACTGTGATTTTTTTCTGTGAGTTTTATTTCTGATTCTAATGCCATTTTAAACTGCATGTTATGAATGTGTACTGTATATGTATATTATATATATATATATATATTAGTCAAGGAATATCTGTTTTTCAGAGCAGTCTATGTTTATTTATGCACGCCATTGACAAGATTGCTATGTACCATCCTTTAGTTAATGTATTAAAATTTGACTCTGATTGGTGAGCAACTCAGAACCACTTTGAAAACAGGCCTAATTGCAGAAGCTTTCTTGTTGCTAATAGCTTTAAATTGAAAATTTTGGTCATGCTATCAAGGTTTTAAAGCAAAATAAAATGTAGAATCTAGGTGGTATTTATGGGTAAAAAGACCTTTTTCATCAAACCCTAATATAAATAAATTCCACAGTTCTTTGCAAACACATAAAAGAAATGTTCACAAACCATAATGATAATACTGTGACAACAGAGGCCACATATGGGGACTTTAAACCTAATTAGAAATTTGCGTAATGTGTGTACAGATGAACACTCTTGGTTTAAGTTTCAGTTTAGAACTTCCAAGCTTTTAACCACTTCAGCATTCACACCTGTTTACCCTCTATGGGCCAAAACAAATAGTACATTTGTGCTATGGGCCTGTTTTTTGGCAATAACTTTTTTTACTAAAAAGTGGTTGTGAAGGCTCAAGGTTTTATTACCTTCATGCATTCTGTCCATGAAGGTAAAACAAACTTCTGTGTGCAGCAACCCCCCTAGCTCCCCTAATACTTACCTGAGCCCCATCGAGATCCAGCGTTGTGCATGAGAGCCTCAGCTCTTCAGTGACTCTCCTTCCTTCTTCCTTGTGCTTTCTTGTTGGTCATCTTCAAACCTGTGTTTTCCCTGCAATATCTTTAAAAAAAAAAAAAATCATTCAACGTCAGTTTTAAAAAATCCATAGTAATGTCCGATCAATCTGAGCTACAATGTTGTAAATAAACATCCACAGTCAGCAAAGACTGTTATGAGACAGCTGCAGTTATTGTACAACCACATCTGATTTACTGGCAATTCAGTATCCAGTTATATTGGTCAGATATCTATCAGCCTTAGAAATTGTAGAACGAGTGAAAATTATTTAATATGCAATGACATGCTGCCCTTTTATGAGCAGATGTCCTTTCAATAAAATGAAAAGCAGTGAGTAACAAAATTTCCAGTAATGTAAGGGAAGAAGGGGAAGAAGGATTTAAATAGGCTCATTAAGTTAAAACAAGGGTTCCTATGGGGCTTAATAGGAACAAATTGTAATAAAACAATATATGCTGATTGAAGCTCATACCTTTGCTATCAAATGCAAGAAGGAGGAGCAGTGGAGTTGGAGCAAGATATGGCAAACTATACACTCCCTGTGCACTTCTATGAAGCACGTCCAATGTCCACAACTGGTTAAAGGGTTTAACAGTAAAAAACAACATTAGAAAATTGTTAGAAATTGTTTGTAAAAGGAAGACCATGGGGTTAATGTATGAATTTGTTCTATGAAAATTAAGTGGGTATGGTTTATCTTTTAATGTGTAGATATACGAGGGGACTTCAAAAAGATTCTGAATAAAGTGCCAAAAATTTTTGAAGAACCCTCATACCTATTTGTGTTTATACAAGGGGCGTTCATATCAAACTGGGACTTTTGAGTCTATATAATAAAAGAACAAATTTCAAACTGCATTTATTTTTTATATACTTCCCTGCTACATTATTACACTTATCTCAGCGTTTCACTAATGACTGGAAAGCTTTGGCATAGAAAGATTTGTCAGTATGCCTGAAACATCCTAGGACAGACTGCTTCACTTCATGAATGATTGTGTTGACCGTTCCCACAGAAAGATTTGTCTCTTGTACAATTTCGCAACAGGTTATGCAGGATCAGGAGTTCCACATGCTGAATGTTCACAGGAATCACTGCTGTGGGCTGGGAACCACCACGGCCAGGATCGTCACTGACAGACGTACGGCCATATTTGAAACGTTTACACCATTCAAATGTCTTACTGCGGCTGAGCACCTCATCATCGCACTGTGCTTGAAGTTTTCTGTAGATATCCATGGGTTTTACGCCTTCATTCACAAGAGCCTTCATCACCACATGCTGTTCTAGGCATTCACTAACAGTGTTATCTGCCATCTTGATTAATGGTCTCTGGACTGGCCCACGACATGTGCGCCATCTATCAGTAATGGGACGCACTTGCCACTTACTACTGTGTGTATTACTGCCATGCTAGCATCCCTTTTAATACCTGTAAAATTAAAAGTCCCAGTTTGACTTGAACACCCCCCCCCCCCCATACTTTAACTGGAAATTTTAGGTACTTCTCTATGACTAAGCCCTTTTAGTGAATGAAAAGAGATGACAACTGACAGTGGGAGCAGCCTATAGGTCACTTTAGAGCAATATAAACAGTTATTCCATCAGTTACCCACTTACAATAAGTCTTTATATAGGTGTCTAAAACAAGAACTATTCTTGATGCATATTGCAGCCATAATTGTGTATTCTCCTGTATTACATAGCAGTCAGATGTTTGTTATTGTTATAATAGTTAACAATATTTCCAGGTATAAATTAAGATCCATTCACAGTCTGTTTCAAAACCAACCAAAAGCCATTTTGTCCAAAAAAGCCAAAGTAAATATTTAAGCACATATAATTTGTATGCATGTGTGTTTAACTATTACCTGAAAAAAATGATACAGTCAACAGCTGCAGGATTTGACCACTAAATACGCAACTTTAATAAAATATAGGATCTAAAAATAGCCTCTACTATGTATGTAATTGTTTTTTTTTTTGAAGCATTCCGATGGTGGAAAAGCTAATGATCCACATCTGATAGCCCCAAAAGCCTTTGCTACAGTATGACAAAAAGGATTTCTGTGTATGTTTATGACTACGTTAGCCATTAAGGGAATGTATGATCTGAGCAAACTGAAGACCCACCAGATTCAATTAACATAATTAGCTGTGCAGTTGTGAACTGGAAAAACTGAAAGAACAGAGTTTGGCTGCAATAAACACATTCTGATTGAAATGAAACCATTAAGTTTTGATCACATTTTTCTTATTATTTGTAATATGAGAAATTGGACCATGGAGATGAACTATACTCAATAACAATAGTGTGTGGATGTAGCAAAATCAGAATAATGGGAAAATATCTTGTTGTCCATACCAACCAATTAACTCTCATTCCTGCATTTCAAAATTAAAACTAAAACAGAGAAGATAAGGACTGATTTGTTACTATAGGCAACCAGAATCTTTTTTGTAGCAGATTTTTTATACATTAATCCCTGGGTTTTTCATTACAAAGAAATGTCATGTTAATCACTTTATAAGTAGCCACCAGCCCCTGCACTGCTCCCGTCCAGCCGTTTATATACAAGGGCCGGACGGGAGCAGTGCAGGGGCTGGTGGCTGCTTATAAATGGCCTCCCCAATCCCTGTTTGTGCGCACTCCCTGGGACACAGTGGAACATCGATCGTTGTACGGGACCTTTGTGTGAGGTCCCGATCAGTGATGACATGAATAGTAGTAAGCAAGATGTCACTTCTGACATCATTGCTTACTACGTGTGAAATCTGTAAATGATCACAGAGGTTACATGGTACAAGGCTATTCACAACAGCCTTGTACCATGTGACAAGCTGTGACGAATCACAGCTCACACAGTTTTTCTCAATGGCTGCAAGAATGCAGCCAAAGAGGAGAAATGATTGCTTTTACAGCCTTTATGGAAACTGTACTGCTAGGGTGACACTATGTAAAAAAAAAAAAAAAAACATAAATAATAATATAAAAAAATGAAATAAAAATGTAAAATAGTACTTACTAAAAAGATAACTGAATACATCATGGCCAAGATTTATGAAGAAAGATTATTTATTTGGAAGAAAAACACTTTTTTCAAAATTTTTTGACTTTTTCATTTATATAGCAATAAAAATCCCAGTGGTAAATAAATACCACCAAAATAGAGTTTTATCTGTCTCAAAAAAATGCAAAAAAATTAATATGGGTACAGTGTTCCATGACCGTGCAATTG